GACGAAGACCAATCACATCTGCAGTCACCTGCCACCGCATAGAGAGAATGCTGCGATTCATGGTCCAAGAAGCCTTTCAAGTAGGCCCAGTAGCACACGCAGCAGGCCTTGTCCCCTGCCACACTCTGCAAAAAGTCCACACAGGCTTGAAATTTAGAGCCCATAGCGTGTAGCTGAGTGTCCAGACTTGATCCCCTAAACACTTGCGGACAGCTCGCATTATTTTGACATTGCTTCTGTTAGAAGAAGGAATTTCTTCGCTTGAATTTCCACAATTAGGTTTTACAATGTTTCAGATCCCGATGCATGGGCTTCAACAGTTTCAGCAACAACCTTTGTCCTTTGTCGACTCAGCTTCACTTCCCAGTCGGCTTCACAAGCCCAAGAGGAAACAATCCAAATCTGCACAAGGAAACCTTGCAATCTTGGAAGACAAAGGTAAGGAAAACAATGGGCATCGAGATTCAATGACGTTGCCAATCATTCTCGAAACTTGTATTCTCTTCAAAAGCTGCATTCATTGATTTATTTATATTGCCAATATTTGGGAGCATTGTGATTGTGAAATTCACAAAGGTTCATACACCTCAGACAATGTTACAGCGTCCAACTTCGCACACAAGTCGTTTTTCCCGACACGGTTCCAAGTTCTGCCATGTCCTTGACACCGCCACGAGCGACATGCAGTCATTGGTTCTATTTTGATTTGATTGGCGCATGACAAATGACAAGAGGCGCATGAGAGTCTGAGCATGACTGTGGCTGTGACTGGATTGGATACACTGTACAAATGCCTTTGTATTGAAAATTGAAATTGTTTTGTCAATATCAACTCATCGCTGACTCTTCCGCCCGTGGTCTCAAACATTTTTTCGACAGACCACTGTGACTCGGTGGTCTTAAGAAAGAAGCCAAGGTGACCATAAAGAGCATGAAGATGCACTCATGTGGCGCATCACTCACGTGCAATTCTGTTCACCATCTCGGCGATTTGTATGTCGGTGGGCCTGACAAACACCACCAATGATTCACATAACATTGATCTCAAACTTAGACTACCTCTGACAGACAACATCATTCCTAGACAATAATCTAAGCTGAGGCACTGTGTCTCTGTTGGGGCCGGGTGCCGCTCATTGTAGGCCTCCCACACCCAGTTCAATACCACTCTGAGCGCAGTTGCTTCATCGTTAAGCTCGCGCTTACCCCCCCATGTACACGCTGTGGACGGCTTGTCCCACGGGCCTTAGTCGGATTTTCCAAAACAATTCGATGTAACTGAACCCATAAGACCCAGAATAATCTGGTATTGAGAACCTTGGCAAAAAAAACATAACAGTTCGTCATACATCCATACACCATACACCTAACTTGAACCCTAGTAAAAGAATAACAACTTTAAAACTTGTCTTGCCGCTGAGCAACATTCGGGTCGTGGTGGGTATTTTCCAAGATATTGCTTCCGGCTTGGATATCGGCCAATATAGGTTCCAACGATGGATCCTTTCCCTGGAAGCAACTGCTTGAGCTCCATGGGAGTGTTGTTCACCCGTATGTTGGGAGCATGGCTGCGTCCTCTTCCTGCAGCTGCGTCTTCATCCTTGGTCCGCCCGGGCCAGCCATATAAATGCATGCAGCATGCAAGCATTAAAGTTAAACACAAACTTTGCAACTTTTAAACTTTTTATATGGACTTTTAATTTTGTCACTTTGCAATTTGCAATTAAACAAAATCCACAATCGCAAAAGAAGCAAAACATCAAAAATCCAAATTGAAATTTCCAAACTTTGAAATTGCAAACCGACTGCTTTACCAAGTTTTACCAAGTTTTACCAAGTTTTACCAAGTTTACCAAGTTTTACCAAGTTTTACCAAGTTTTACCAAGTTTACCAAGTTTTACCAAGTTTACCAAGTTTTACCAAGTTTTACCAAGTTTTACCAAGTTTTACCAAGTTTTACCAAGTTTCACCAAGTTTTACCAAGTTTTACCAAGTTTACCAAGTTTTACCAGATTTCACCAAGTTTACCAAGTTTTACCAAGTTTTACCAAGTTTTACCAAGTTTTACCAAGTTTTACCAAGTTTACCAAGTTTTACCAAGTTTACCAAGTTTTACCAAGTTTTACCAAGTTTACCAAGTTTTACCAAGTTTTACCAAGTTTTACCAAGTTTCACCAAGTTTTACCAAGTTTTACCAAGTTTTACCAAGTTTTACCAAATTTCACCAAGTTTACCAAGTTTTACCAAGTTTTACCAAGTTTTACCAAGTTTTACCAAGTTTACCAAGTTTTACCAAGTTTTTTTTTAAATGATTTTGGTAGTGAAAAACACTTTTTTTATATTGAAATTTACCATCAAAAACACTTATTTGGTAAGGAAAAAAATGTCAAAAACACTTGTTGGAAGCGGTCTTACCAAGTTTTACCAAGTTTTACCAAGTTTTACCAAGTTTTACCAAGTTTACCAAGTTTTACCAAGTTTTACCAAGTTTTACCAAGTTTACCAAGTTTTACCAAGTTTTACCAAGTTTACCAAGTTTTACCAAGTTTACCAAAGTTTTACCAAGTTTTACCAAGTTTTACCAAGTTTACCAAGTTTTACCAAGTTTTACCAAGTTTTACCAAGTTTTACCAAGTTTTACCAAGTTTTACCAAGTTTTACCAAGTTTACCAAGTTTTACCAAGTTTTACCAAGTTTTACCAAGTTTTACCAAGTTTTACCAAGTTTTACCAAGTTTTACCAAGTTTTACCAAGTTTTACCAAGTTTTACCAAGTTTTACCAAGTTTTACCAAGTTTTACCAAGTTTTACCAAGTTTTACCAAGTTTACCAAGTTTTATTTTTTTCCAGTTTTACCCCACCTTACCAACACCCAAGAATTTAAACAAAACCGGCACGCTGATCCATCCCACCGAGGACCACCTTTTTTACCAAGTTTTACCAAGTTTTACCAAGTTTTACCAAGTTTTACCAAGTTTACCAAGTTTTACCAAGTTTTACCAAGTTTTACCAAGTTTTACCAAGTTTTACCAAGTTTTACCAAGTTTTACCAAGTTTACCAAGTTTTACCAAGTTTTACCAAGTTTACCCAGTTTTACCAAGTTTTACCAAGTTTTACCAAGTTTTACCAAGTTTTACCAAGTTTTACCAAGTTTCACCAAGTTTTACCAAGTTTTACCAAGTTTTACCAAAATTTACCAAGTGCAGAACAAATCCACCGAGTGTGAAGCCAAAAAGAACACAAACCGAACATCAGTGTGGGCGGCGGCGCCTACGGCGCCAGACATGAAACAATTGACATTCTATGGCATTTCTCCACGTGCGACCAAGGGGCAGGGTTGGGTCTGACGAGCACCATTGGTCTAGCCTGACAGAGTACAAACAGGATTTGGGTTTTAGGACTAGGACTTGTCGACGATCGATATTATTGGTAGCATAAGTTGTTAATATTTATAACACTTGAGTCACTTGATGGTTATCCAATAAATCATCATCACCATAGCCATCACCATCACCATCATCATCTTCACCGGCAACATCATTCATCATCATCGTCACCGTCACTGTTTGGAGATGCATGGGACCTTAAACATTTTTTTTGAACCTGGAATTAATTCACGATGATGCCAACGTCACGCAAATACCGATAAATGCGCAAAGTGATCAATCAAAACACTGGATGCCAGAATTGCCGGCCGGCTCTCCCTGTTCCCATCATTCTATTTCATCTTTGTCAAATGCACTGAACCTGTGCAGAGAATATGTGTGTCAATGGCATGGTGGCAGATCAAGCTCGTACTCAGAAAAATCTGGTATACCTTCTATGTTGTTGCGTAACATGATTCCTTCTCTTATTTTATGAGATGGAAACACCAGCGCCAAGGAAAAGAATTCAAAACTTTGATAACTTTTATAGACTTTGCATCTATTGTTAAGTTGAAGTAATGGCCAATTTACTTACGCCGCTTGCCATCCCAGCTCCGACTCCGACTCCCACCTCTCTTGCCTCTGCTCCGAGCACCAAAGGGTCTTCTACTTGTGGATCAGGTTTCCAATCTTCCTCTCGCCGTCGAGAGTCTGAGTCGAGAATGGACTCAGATTCAAAATCAGTCAGATTCAAATTCGAACATGTATGTTAATATTAACTAATTTTGTGTGTTTGTTTGATCAGTGATATTTTACAAATACAGCTCTTTTAAGTAGTTGTAGGCAGGTCATTGTCACTGCCATTGTCACTGCCATTGTCACTGCCATTGTCACTGCCATTGTCACTGCCATTGTCACTGCCATTGTCACTCCTCCACCAACTTCTTCAGAGCATCCAAGGCCAGTCCATCGTCGTAGTCGCCCTTATCACTCTTCTCATGTGTCATCCGTGAAACCACACCGCTGAATGATCAATAATAATGGAATGGAATTGAACCACTGGAAGGAATAATTGACCCGGTTTGAAATTTGAAATAACACCAAGACCCACAACACAGAACTGTCATCGTTAGCCCTAGTGGCAACAGGATCATTCAGATCATCTGGAAGTGCCAAATCAGGTCGGTCTCTTCTGGCAGGTGCGGCTGCAGGTTCCAAACCACCTTCATCATCATCACCGCAACTTCCAGACCAGAGCTTCCTGGGCAGGGTCGGTGTCTGTCTGACTCGGAGTTTGTCTAGTTTGGTTAATTTGTCAAACGCACCACTCCGGACATACCTGGTCCTCTGCTGCCCCAGCCACTTTGCTTTTGGACAAGTCACTTGTAGTCCTTGGCTTTCTTGTTGGGTGCCACAGCCGTCCTATCTCCTCCGAAGGTTGGTTTGGTAGGTGTTAGATATGAAGTTGATTCGTGGTGTGATGCCAGGCGCTTGCACATCTGCATCACCCGCTGGCAACTATGAAGTCTAACCAACCTCATGAAATAAAACACGTTTGCAATTAGTGCGTCCTAGATCATCATAGGATATGAAAGTGAATATTCTGTCTGAAGCACATCACATGTCCTCACTCCTCACGCACTCACTAAACTGCCACTGTGGTCTCGCAGTTGGTCCGTCCGTCCTGAAGCTGCAAGACGGAAGATCGCTTCATAATATGCATCCAGTTGCGCGTGGTAGATCTTCTCTTGGTAGGTCAGCAACTCTACCACGTTCAACAATACCAAAGCATGCCAGAACCCTCTCGCGAAATATACCTTCCTGTCCTTAGGGGGGTTGTCTGTCTGTCACTGTCTGTCCATATGTCAATTGTTAATTGTTAATCAAATAATGAAATCAAATCACACAAAACCATATGTTTGAATAAAAATCATTCAAAGTGCAAAGGCTCTGCTGTAATGGGGGTTCGCTTCAAAGCTTGCAGTGAAATGTTTGAATGGCTCTTGAATACCCAGCCCTGCTCTTCCAAAAGCAAATGCAGTTCGAAGATGGTTGGTTTCAGCCCCTTGTCCACATCCACTGTGGCCAATGTATGTGGCACTCCCACTCGCGATTGAAAGGCTCGACGGCTTCGCTTCAGCAAGAATACATCTGGTTCATCTTCTCGGATTTCATTTTGCATTTCCCATTGATACATATTGGCAATGATCTCCTGGGGGTCCTTTGTCATGAAGAGCTGTGCCAGGGGAACCTCACTTCCTACCCCCTGGCGAGCCCACACTTTGCATATTTGCCCCGCCTCATCAACAATTGTATCCAGAACATCATGCAAACGAATTGCAAAGTCGGACCATTGAATGTTGTCACTGGCAGAAAGTGGCCTTTTCTTTCTGGCTGGCATCCTTGGCAACGGGTTCACTTAATGACATGCACAAACAACCAAATCTAGCTTATGTCATCTTCAAATTGTTAACTTTCTTCGGCCCCTTGTTTTTCATTGGAAGAAGTGCTTTCAACATGGCACCTACATTGGGTAATTATTCCAGGGGGGGCATGTCACATCAGGAATAATTGATTTGGAATAAATAGTTTTCGGATCAATTTTTAATTATTCTGCTAAGGGGGTCTATTCTATCCCAAGATGTTGTATGGAATAATTTGCGTCAACATACTTCAGAATAATTAGCCATCTATGGGCATATAAACTCGGATGATAAGTTATGATAGATTTTGAACCATCACTTGAAAAATAGGTTACAATAAATGACAATAGATGAACGGTGATGACATGTGCATACATGTGCTGTTATGATCTGTTATGTGCTGTTACATGGAGAGGGGGGGGGGTTGCCCTAAATTTACCCTAATTATTCCCGATGTCGTGTGACATACTGGAATGTTTTCCCAGAATATGTGCAATGGGGCTAGAATCATATCCAATTATTCCAAGGTATGCTGGCAGGGGGGGGCTATGGCAGGGACCATCTTTCAACATGGTTTTGAAGCCCATATTCATAGAAGTGCTTTTGTGATGGCCCCACCAGATTCGAAGCACTTATGCGCAATCATCGCGCTATGTGTGTGAGTGTGTGTGTGAAAACTGTTATCACATACGGTATACTTTTGACTATGCAGGGGAGTGCTGAGCAATGATGAAGTCACCACTCAACGAAGACGCTTCATCAATTGCTGTGATATGACGAAGGGACGCCTTTGTCACGTACCTGCATAATTTGAACTGTTGAACAAGCTGTCACCATTTTGTGGGTTACTTTCAGCAAGCTCCTTTCCGATTCGGTTTTCGTTTGCATGAAGGCGACTTAGGCGAACAGGCGACGGCAAGCTCTATATTCATCATCTTCAAACCAAACCTAAGCAACCTAAGCAGTGTGTGTGTGTGTTTGCGTGTCACCCACAGGGTTAAACAACAGGTCACCCAAGGCCCAAGCTACTTGTGGCAGTGGCCGGCACTACTTAGAAGCAACGCGAACGCGCGCGGGCGTGGTCAAGAACCAAAACAAATATTTGAAACTTGGACTCATATCTCTCCTTCCTTCAGATGGACCGGCAAACATGCAAGGTAGAATGGCTTTGGTCTTGGCATTGCCTTCTTCGCATGTTTCAGGTAGGCATACAGCCAGCGAACTGACTCAGAGTCCATTCAACCCTTTGAGCACTGCAACATACCAATCATTATATAAGCATTATCATTGGTTTCATGTCATTTTAATGGCATCTCAACAACCATTTGCCGGATGAATGGTGCACCTCCTAACCTCAATCGCTCACAACTCGAAATTTCAAACAGATGGAAAATGGAATGTGATTGTTCCAAACTATTTTCTTTTCCAGTGTCCAAATTCTTCAATAATTCTGGATAAATTCAACCACCTCAAATCCTGCCAAATTTATCGGAATAGAAAAAGGATTGAATCCATTTTAACCACTGTTTATCCAAATTTAACCAAAATTTAACCAGAATTTATCCAACAATTCATTTCCTGGACTTCTGCAGCCAAAATCGTGACTTTATCATTTTTTTCACTGGTTTACCCCCATTTAATTCAAATTTATTCAATGTTACATGGAGGGGCACACTCAATTTATCTTTTTTTCAGGACTTTAAGCAAAGATATATACCCATATTTATTTCCTGGAGAATTGTTCTTTGAACTTGGCAGTGAATCTCGTAAACAATTTCTGAAACTATTTTTCTTGGAACATACAAGTTATCACACAGTCAGTCTCAGTCACGCATGTATGTACGCCATGGAACTATTGAACCATTATGACATTGTTGTCCATGGACTCACTCCACTCCATTCCATCCTCGGTAAAACATGGGAAACTAAAATGAAATGCGGTATCCAAACCAGAACCAACTAACTAAAAACAACAATAGCGGACAGCGTGGAAATTACACATGCTGCCAAGCATCATGTCACTGACGCGAAAGAGCACCAATCCATTCATATTTGCGGACTCCACCAGTTGCTGAAGCTGATTTCCAAGACCTGGTGTGTCCCACCTGGCGGGTTGGGCAACCGCAGCTGGAACAATTTTGCCTTCAACCTCCATGTCACGTTCATCGCCCGCTTCATCTTGTAACGCATCCAGAAAACTGCAAGAACCATCGCTCTCGGCATGTTGTTCTGTGACCAATCTGCACCGATCTTCCAAAGGCAATGTGTTTGCCTGATCTGTCAGGGGAAGCAGTCCATTGCCATGAGCCCCTTGTCCCTTGTAAGCCAGAAGCGTTGTCGATGCAAGGTCCAGCTGCTGCATGGGCATTTGACGCACAATAGCCAATGGGAGTGAGTAGAAACCTGGTTTCTACGACGACCTAACCCTTCGGAAACTCGGAAACTACAACAAAGAAGAAAAGTTAAGTGTAAAATTGTGACCAACAAATGATCAACAAACAAGTTCGTGGAAACTTCATCACGTCTAAAACATGATAGAACCACAGACTAGAAACTCTTTTGGTTGCAATGGTCGCGAAAGTGGCCCATCATGGTCAGCTGCAAGAACCCTTTCACAGTGGCTAGCTGGGTACCCCTGACAGATTCTGTGAACTTTCTTTTTTTGTCCATCAACTTGTTTGCCGCACTGGTGGCAACGAGCTCCTTTGCAACATTGCCGCTGTCAAACTGAAGCTTCCGGCGGTAGATCAAGCTCTTTTGTTCTTTGTCGGACAATACTCTGGCAGGTACCTCAAGGTAAGGGACCGGGACCGCACCAAATAAAAATCAATATCAATATCTATCAAAATCCTCCATGCCAAATATAGACACTGGACCCATACAGTACGTATAGTACGACGTATAGTACGTAACGTACGTCGTACGTAGTACGTAGTGCTAAGTACCAAGTAAGTCCCAAGTACCAAGCACCAAGCAATGGTCAAACAAACCAGATTCAACCTGATTCAATTCAACCAACCCGTTCAAACCGTCCCTGTAAACCAAAGCGTATTCAGATAAGTGGCGCAAAATCGTCCTCCAACAAGTCGAGCCACCATTTTGGAGGAGCCGGCTGCAGTAGCGAGCATCTCACAGGATTTGCATGCTCTTGCCGTGTCCTGCACACGGGGAGTTATCCCGCACACGTACGACGCAGTTACATACTCACACACACAATGCCACCATTTACACTTTAGAAACTCCTCCGGAGCCTGAAAGAGCTGATGCACCAGCTTTTCTCTCAGCTCGGTTGAAATGAACGCCTCCGATGCATTCGGAGCGCTGCTGAACACTTGCGAGATGTTGCGATGTTGTCCCTACCACAGGGTCAAGAGAGAATAGCGAAAACATTGCCATAATTGTCCCGTTGCCCACTATCAGTTAATAGGATTAATAGCGCAATGAGCGTTGTCATCTAGGAATCATTTGGGCTTGCCTCGCCTCTGTTTCCCTCTCTTGGATTCGGAGCAATCGCAAACTCCCAGTCCACTGCCGAAGTCTTGGCAAATCTCGCATGGACACACCATTGATGTAGTCATGAAACTCATCATGCAAACCATCAGGCCCATACTCCTGAACTGGTTTTTGAGTAAACTTGACATTGGCAATTGCAAATTGAAAGTTTAAGACAATCCAAGAGGGAACCGGAATCGGAAATACAGGGCAATCAATCTTGGCCAAAGGACTGGATCCAGAAATCTTTTGACCAAAGGATGCGCGAGCGTGGTGCCAGCGTTGGCCTTGAACAATCTCAGACACTGGTTCGCACAGGCTCTGGCAATCTCTGGAGAATCTGACCCCAGTCCCGCCAGCTTCCACGGCAATGTTTGCCAATGTGCACATTTGATGCGGATCTGTGTCAGTACTGCATCCTGATCGGTCCCGAAGTCACATCATGTGCATCTTGTCTTGTCGCAACACAGAATTATCAGAATAAATACTTTACTGGGTGTTATACTGACTAGCCTGGGGACTAATCTTGATCCTTTGGTTTTGCTGCCGTGATTCCGTGGCAATCACCCAATCTTGCACCAGCTTAGCACGGTCTGCAGGTGCCAAATCAACCACATGTTCCTTCAGATGTTTTTCCGAAACCTGATTGATGTCCTCGATAAAGGTAATAAACGATCCGTTCGCAAATTCTGGTGCACGACGTCCTTTCAGGGGACAAGGAAGTTGGTCAGTTGTTTTTTTCCAACTGCCAAAGTGCTGAAGCCGTTGGCGAAGGTAAGCTTGACGCACTTTCGTGCCATTGTGTTTTCCCCAAACCTCATGGCCTTGGATAGGGACACGGGGGTTGGCGGTCACTGGCTCACATATTGACAGTTCATTGTCATTTTTCACCCTCTATTGACCCACTAGAAAAGCCAAAGAAACAAGTAACATGAGCATCCTTCGCACCACTCCGACTGCGCGTCGATCATGCCGGAGACCAGCGCCAGGAATCTGGCGTAGGCCCAAAACATATCACACGCCAAGGCTTGATCAACCCCCTCAGCTGGACCATGTTTCCCAAAGCGATTCGACTGCCATCGCTGCTTCAGCGCATCCTCTCTTTTCAAAAGGGCCCGGAGAACCTCCGTGAGCGAACTCCATCTCCATTCCCTCAATTGCCCTCCATCCCATGTTGACAAAAGTTTTTTCTGCTCCTTGTCGGCCGGTTCTGGCAGGCACGTTGAGACAAGTTTGTCCCTGTAGGTTTTGAGATGGAACAAGGTCACCAGAGGCTTCAACATTTCCTGGCCAACAATGACGTTGCAAAATATGACATGTTATAACCATGTGGGATTAATTAAGTACTGGTGGTGTTGTTTATAATTCTGCGCCGTGCTCCCATCATCATTGCAGACACACCGGTAAAAAAGTAAAAACCACAGCACATGGCATATGCAGCAACACTTGTTATCCAACAAGGGTCAGTGAACCACACGTAGTGCCGAAGGCTCTTCAGCATATCATCTTGGGTGTTGTGGAACAAATGCTTCACACCAGGTATCAAAAGGCCTTGGGACAAACCAAACGAAGCGGCTCGTTCTCCATTTTGACCGGCGGCGTTCTCTATCTGCAGCAATTGATCATCTGGCTCATCGTCGCACATGACATTCATATCATCATCAGCCAGAGCTTCCAGAAACTTGCCAGCGCTGCGCATAGCTGGTGCGGACGGGTCATACTGGAGCATTCCCTCGCTTTCAGCAATGTTTCTTGCAAAGAGCTTGTTGGCATCAATATCTGGTATCTGCAGGGCTAAGAGCTAAGCTAAGCTGAAAGGTTGGGTTAGGTTCAGGTTCCTCCTTCAGATTCCTTTATTACACCTAACGGGAACAAATGAACGTGATAAAACAAAATGCAACTCATAAAATTCCAGGCATTTCCCGGTCAGATTTGGTGCTCCTGTCCTGACACAAGTGCCCTTCTGCGCCCCAGTCGCTGCAAAACCCAATCACACTTTTACTGTAGCTTGCCAGCCACGATATGTCACCGTCGTACATGCAATCCAGAGCAGCAGCATGGGTGAGCGAATCAAATTTCGCCGCCGTTGATGCATTGCCAGAGCCAAGAATGCTTACCTTAAGTTGTTGGTTTCAACACGTTCGTGACAAATTATTCAAATTGGTACATCAGCTGCCAGACTGTTCAAAAACATCGACCAGATACTGGAAGCGTGGCAGTTTTGATGGGTCTTCTCTCGCACCATTGCCGCTTTTCCTTCACAGAGTGACCGCTTAAGCGCACATGTTTTGTTCCTCTGATTGAAAATGGACAACTCAACAGCCAGCTAGACAGTCCGACTAATTAACAATATATTAATATCATTGCTTCTGCTGCACTGCACTACTGCACTGCACTACTGCACTGCACTACTCTTCTGCATTCCCAAATTTCCAAACAATAGTAATGCCAAAAGCTTACATGAATGATGCCTGCTGATGACAGCGGGTGACATAAAACAGCCGACACGTTGGGTCCTGAGCTGTTGCTTCGATCAGCTCTGCGGCTTCTTTGCGCGAAATCCGGTCTTCCACTGCCACGAAGAACTCAAGGCTACCTTGCGGCGATGAATCGCAGCTTAAGTACACAAAGTGGCCCTCTTGGACTTGGGCTTGTGCCCAACAACGTTGGCGTTCTAGCGCCAAGAGAATGTCCAGCTTCAAACGTCCTCGACTCAACTGAGTCTTATGAGGAACAGCAAGGCTTTTCTGGCGACAACGCTCGAACACCTTCCTGGGTGCAACTCAAAAGCTTTGGGGATCCCATTTGCCGATACAATTGAAGTCAACCCAATCCATTGTCATGCATAAGAAACATTGTAACAATGTCAATGTCAAGCCAATGTCCAATGTCAACAATGTCAACAATGTGCAACAATATCACCAATCGAGAATTATCTAAGTGTATGGATTTAATTTAATTTCAAAATTCTAACCCGTGACATGACATGATTCTGTTTTTTGTTTCATCGATGGACCAATGGATATAGAATCGGGCTCCAATTCCAATGCTATCATGCTATCTGCTTTCATTTCACGTGAAACCCTAAGCAGGCGACTCATGGACTGCTGATCACTTGCCCAGGCTATAACCCTTAGCCGTGGCCCTTAACCCTGCCGAACCACAAACACCGAAGCCAAGTGTCTGCGCCTCCTCATGCCCAAACAAAAACGCAGCGCTTCGAACGAGGGTCTCGGGCAAAGAGTCTTCGCTCTTCAACAATCTTGCCAGAAGCAAGGCTTCAATGAGGGCAGAAAAGCCCAATTTTCCACACCTGCCAGACACCAGACGGGAAACATGCGTATGTCTTTTGCAATGGGTGAATGTTCAAGGTAGGTACGGTTCTCCCAGATATCCCAGTGTTCCAAGTCATTAATCCAAAACTCAAAACTTATTAAATTAAGGAAACCAAAATAGTAAAACAATACTCGTTTGAATTAGGGGGAGGGGTTGGACCCCGCTCTGCGTAGTTACAAATCACTAGGGACCAATCCCAGTGTCTACAAAATGCAATCACCTGCAAAAACCTTGGGACTACAAAAAGCTAGTGCCAACTCTAGGCACCATGCCAAGAACCGAGCTAAATCAGCTCTACAAGAAGGTTGCTCAACCCACATGGCTAATTTAAAAGCACCATCAATAATCTCACTTGATTTCCCCCTATCCTTTTTGTAGAGGATTCCCCATAGATCAGGTTAGGCAATTTCCTGCCGAAAAGGTAATTCCTTATCTTAGACAAAACATTACCTATTAGGTTATTTTTTCCTTACCTAGATTAGTTTTTTCTTGCCTTAACTGATTTTTACCTAACTTTCAACGAAAGTCTGCACGCAAACTTTCAACCCCGCCTCGCAAGTTTCTATGCAAACTTTCAACCTCCCTCGCAAGTTTGCAGGCAAACTTTCAACCCCCCTCGCAAGTTTGAATGTAAACTTGCACCACCATTTGCCTGCAAATGCTTGCGTGCGTGTCCAAGGGCGCAAATTTGCTTGCAAACTTTCAACCCCGCCTCGCAAGTTTTCGCGCAAACTTTCAACCCCGCCTCGCAAGTTTGCACGCAAACTTTCAACCCCGCCTCGCAAGCTTTCGCGCAAACTTTCAACCCCGCCTCGCAAGTTTGCGCGCAAACTTTCAACCTCCCCTCGCAAGTTTGCATCCAAACTTTCAACCTCGTCTCGCAAGTTTGCATGCAAACTTTCAGCCCCGCCTCGCGAGTTTGCACGCAAACTTTCAACCCCACGTGCCGAATTACTTTAAAATTGGGTTACATTTGCTGCTTAAAAATTAACTAATTAAGTAGGAAATAAGGAATGAACTATTAGGCTGGAAATTGCCTAACCTGATCTTTCGGGTTCTGTGCTATCAGGTTGGGTCCCTTCGAACCTTGGGCGTTTTGTGGAGAAAGAAGGCTTTAATGTATAAATCCTTTTTTAATCTTCGTGTCGGCTACTTGTGCAAGCCTGACATGGCTGCTCAAGCCTCAAAATGAAGTCCTCTACAAAAAGCTGATTGCATTTTTACATGACCGAAAATCTGCTCCAAAATGACCCCTCTACAAAAAGCTAATGCATCCAACATGATTTATACATACCACTATTTGTCTACAATGACTGGGCACCAACCCATTTTTTCTCTATAAAACCATTGTTTCAGCTTTATTATGCGGGACCCAAACCACTTCAAAACGTAGAGGAAATCCAAACGGGGGTGTAAAACATCTGACCAATGAATTGATCCCTGTGTGGTGGGGGTGTGCTAAACACTACGGACAATGGACATGACTGCAACTCTCCACGGACTGTTGCCACGTTGTCCAGGCACGATTGAGCCGTAAGCTTCAAGTGGTCCTTTCAGGTTGAAGCCGTTGTAGTCCTTGCATTAGTGGGGGCCTCATCACTGTGAGGTTCCTCTGGCTCTAATGCCCCATCGTCGGTGTCACACTGCTGGAGTCAAGCCTGAATTTCAGGATTGAGCCTCCTGTGCAGATCCACGGCGGCTTCCTCACGCAGCTGCTCAGGCAGCTGGCTGCGGCAAAGCTCCTCGTAAGTTGCACTGGCCCATGCAATCTGCAGTCTGATTGAACCGGACCGGGTTCATGCTGCGCCTGGTGCATTGTTCCCTTGCGTGCTGGGGCGCTAGGCCCTGCAAACGCTTGCCAATGACTCAAACAGAGCCTATTATCCCATTTTAATTACCTATTATCCCATTTCATTGCATTATCCCACTGCCATCGCAAAACCTATCGTGCCTTTGTCTGCCATCGGGGCCATTCACCTCTGCAAGAGCTTGAGCTTGCTCTTGCTGCTCATCTTCAAGTAGGAGTTCCTGGTGTGTTTAATTTTGTGATTGTGATGTGATCCGGTGATGGGCGCTAGATGGAATACATGGGAAATGCGGGAATGATGATGTGTGAGATTATGAGTGTATTGGAGACAGAAATGACAAGTTAACAGTTATAGTGTAGTAACAATTCACTCAATGCCACAATGCCATATAACAATAAATTCAACTCATGTAATTCTATGTTTGGATTGGAAAGTTGAACCTTGAAACTGGACTTTGAAATCATTGAAAACAAACCATCAGGAAATAGCCGACATTGAAATGGATTATGGATTGATTAAACTGATGAACAGGGTGGCCGGGGTTGTGCAATTGTGCAAAATGTTAGAATCAGCTACAATGAAACACGATGGCCTGATTGGTCTCCCAATATTCCTGTCAAATCTATCACCTAGTCTGAGTGTCAGTCTCCGGCTCCGGTCAGTCAGTCTTGACCATTCATCAAAGACCCTCTCATCATGCAGGCGGTGATGCCAAACAGGCGGCATATATGTTTCGGTTCAGTCAATGCAGTTCAGACTAGATTAGATTTATGAAAGAAATTTGAATTATATAAGTTCCATTCCCATCCCACCCCCCTGGATTTGCAACCAGAGTCCTCTTCATTCCCCACTGCACGTGGTCTCCGAGCCATTCGGAAATCTCAATTCTCAGTTCGCCAAGTTTGCAAGAGCCAACACAAGAACAGATCACAAAGCCCTCAATAGCAACTTTTAGTTTCATGATCCTCATGGTCCCCCTGCATTTGCGTGATTATTCTAAGGGAAATGTAAACTTCGAGCTGCCAACCCCGGACCGTCGGATTCGGACCCTACACAGTCCCCGATTGCACGTATTCATTTCTTTTGTTTTTTTATTTCAATTCAATTTCATTATTTATTTCATTACATACATTTATGACACAAGACACAAACTAACAAGTATAAGTTTGGTGTTCGGCTGTAGCTAAGCGAAAAACGATTACACAACATTATGGTTATCATTAATCATCAATACTCATTGGTGTATCGTACCCAGGATGCCAAGATACCGTTGGGCTGACCACATCCGGATGGCAGGGCAGATGGATAGCCGGAAATGCCACTAACAGCACCACCTGCAGTCCAACGCATTCACAAGCCACGGGTTCCAGTTGCAAATTGAACCACAAAATTGTTCAACTTCTTCCACGCCACTTCAAGTTGAATGAAATGAAAAACTAAATTTTGGAAACTGAAAACTTGAAATTTTTACCATCCCTGACATACAATCAAAGAATGTTTCACAAATGACTCGCGGGCCCACCGCAGTACCAGTGCCTGCCAATGTTTTTCTGTTTTGCATCCAAGCGTATATGTACGTACGCTTCAGTCCGGGCTGCCAGGCCATTGCTTGCCAGCACCACACCTAAACTAGAATAAACTGCCTTCCATGTCGTCGGCAGCAAGAAAAGCATTGAATTGCATGTCCATTGGGCCAAAGTCCAAAGTCTGACTGACATCCCTTTGGTCAACCATCCTAATGTACTCTAAGCCTCAACGGCTGTCTGATGGCATGTAGGTAATGCCCACAAACCCCAAAATTCAGAAATCTTCAGTCAGTTCAGGATCTTCACGGATGCTTCTTTCCTGTGAGGGTACCGGGTGACCTCATAGCGCGCAACCTTACAGCCTGAGTCGCTCTCCTCCATCTCAACTCTCAAGTTCAATTCAACATCGTCCTTGATGCGACGTTTCATATACCTGGGCCAGTGGCTGATGTTGATATGATAACACTAAAGACATCCAAATAAAAATGCAGCGGTTGTGAATGACTGCCTGAAAAGAAAAAATCAAACCCTGTTCCCATTATCAGACTGCAAAGTCCTTGAGATGCTACTGCTACTATGAAACTGATTTTTCATAGAACCAGGCACGCCAGCAATCGGTTGGTCTTGTCCGTTGATGAAGTCACGTTGGAATAGTCCAAGTCGAACTCGGCAACAATGTCTTTCAACTTCTTGATCACCTCGTTGCTACCCAATATACGCACAACATCTCCTGACTGAATTGGCACCATGACGCACTTCCGCTGGGCCATAGCCTTGGCTCTGGGCCTCCTCTTGGGAACTGCTAGCAATCCTCTGATGGAGGGAGCGGGAGGTGGAGCTGGAATTGAGCTACCAGCATCATCAGCACCATCCACCATAGTCGCCCCTTCATCGAAAATGATCATGTTGCTCCTCCTCAAGATGGGTACTCTCTCACCCGCTGCATCTTCTGCATCAATATCCACGGCGTCCATCCTCGCGGCCAGCAAATCACCCCATGGATCCAAAGATGATCCTGTGCTTCCATCGCCCATGGATGAACTTGAACTGGCCTCATTGGCCACCCGGCTCCTAAAGCCAAATTGACTGAGCATGGCTTGGATGATGTCGCAGTGAGCAGCGGCCACAAAAAACATCTGGGCCAAAAAGAATCACCATTGATTGAATCTCAATCAACCTCAATCCATCACACTTTCATTTCGGCAATTTCAACTTTCCATATCGCACACTAACCCTGACCCCCCTGGCCTGCAACTGCTCCACTGATTGCTTTGCGCATTGCTGCGTTGCGAGGAAATGCAAATGCGATTGCATCAACTAATTAGTTACTGCACCTCCTCATCAAAATAAATATAAAACAACAAAACAAAATATATCATAGTCATAACGTCATGGTCATTCATAGACATAGATTCCAAATGCGGAAACCTATATAATATGATTTAATCAACCGCCGCATGCCATGCCATAACTTCCAAACTTTGGTCTCTAAATTAGCTTTAAACATTATCAAAGGGATTGAACAACATTGAACAACTACCTCATTTGTCACATACTCTTCTTCGTTGTTATCATCTTTCAATCAGCCAATCCATCACAATGTCAAGCGCCATTATTGTCAAAATTGCCAAAATGGCTTCGGATCGGCCAGTGCTTGTGCAATGTTAATCCCAGGGGTTATTTCTTAACTTACATTTATGTGGATTTAAATTAAGTTGGGTATTTAGATTGTTTATGCTACATTATGTGCCTAGTAAGTTTGATAGTGAATCATAATCATCTATGTTTAACCACTTCACTCGTGAATGCCCAAAATTGAATAAGTGTTTTTACCCCTTGTCCCAATGCATCAGGGTATGAAGATCCCCCCAGGGTAGGTCAAAAACACTTCTTGAGATCTGTTTCCCATTTCTATCCTACACACATGGGTCAAGCAACTTAACATTTTCCTGCAATGCATTTGCCAAAAGCCTATATAGTGAGCTATATTTATCCAGTCACCAATTGTCAGTCAGTCCCAACTGGTGCGAGTGCTGAATACAAATTTGTGTTTCCTTTCTGACAGGTTTGATCCGTTTATGGCGGTTTTCTCTTCCTTCTTTTCCCTTATCTGTCCTGTAGCTCGAGACCTGGTTGACAACGAAGAAGGGGCCCACAGCAAGCATTTCAAACATTGGGAAGCGGGATACACTGTGATTCTTCCCACAAAGGCTCTTAAAGAATGGCAACGACTGGTAGGATCTTAGGAACCAACGGGGTGGGGCATATCTTAGGAACCAACGGGGTGGGGCATGTTGGGCCAATATTTGTGTCTGGCCACTCCACTTGAGGCCCGAAAGCAGGAAATGCGGGCCCTAGCAACCCGACCCCATACACCATGGACGACGACGATGCCGTGAAAGCATCAGCTCCACTTTCTCGCAAGGGAGGTGTCTCGGCAGGATAAGGGCGCCAAGTCTTAGTACGTCTTCATGGTTTCTGGGGCTGCGTTCAAGTCATACATGCACATGTTTTTTTTCACGGACTGTTTGCGTGACTTGCTGGCGGGCGGGTAGTTGGAGGAAATATATCGGCCCAACTGCAACAGGGAACGTGCATGAACATAAAGACATAATATATATATAATATATATATATAGTGTATATAGTATATACAATTAATAGATAGATAGCTATATATATATAATGACCCAGGATGAATGGTTGATACTAAATCTATAATTGCTTGCATTGGTGCCATTTTGCAATTGCAGAATGGCAGATGGTGATTTCCTGGGCCCTTGGTGAATCCGTAAAGTTGCCAGAATTGCTTCAAGGAAGAACTTGCAGGAAACCGTAGGAAACCCACATTATTGTAGAAAATTATAAATAAATATATATATATATGTATACAATTATACATATAATTATATATATATATCCCTATGGATCCAAGTACCTTCTTAGGAAGTGTTTGGAATATAATTTACTACAATTTGGAGGCTTAAGTACCTTCTCAGACAGTGTTTGGATCCATAGGGTATATATAGATTATAAATCATCTGCAAACTTGGATCCCAAGAACAGCCTTGTCAGCTTTCGGCACCTGCTAGACAACTGGGTTTAGAGAAACTTTTGGCAACCTGATACCTCTCCACGTTGAGAAGTTTTGGACGCGAGTGGGTCCGGCAGTTGGGGAAGATGGTGTGCCTGAAAACTACAGCTACAACATGCGGCAGCACTAGTCCACGAGGCAAAGGTTGAATGGTGTGTTTTGTTTCAGGTATACGTAGGACAATATGGGTGTGTTTGTCAACAAGGGGCACTGTACCATATGAAAGCATGCGATACCCGCAAAGATTGCCATTGTAATGGAAACATGGGATGCTGTCGCATCAGTTTGAGACAAACCATCCCAATTTTCCACTGTCGTCATTCTCACCGTTGAAATTTTGGATGTTAGGGTACACACCATGTTCAGGAAAAAAACGTTCGTCATATCATATATAACATCATGTCCATTATATAATATGATGCAACATCCTCATGTTTGTTTATTACTACATCCTAAATTGTTTGGGCATTTTTGAGGTCCAGCTGCTGGAATTGGCGGCAACGTCATGACCTTCACCATGGATGATGGCGATGATGATGCCTGGCAGCGATGGCGACCCCATATTATACCGAGAACTGTGGAAGTTTAAGTGGATGGAAATGTGAAATAATGTGAGTGAATGATGTAATTTAATTGAATTCTGAACGTCATATACTTTGACATATTATGTAAATCATGACCGTCATTGGCGCTAAAGAGGACAGATGTGATGTATATTATATTATCATATATATATATATTGGATGCATAATCATAGAATGTAATAGGTATACTGTATGTAATAGATTTGCAACCTTGGGGACAATAAAGGCGCGATTGGCCTTGATTCTTGTTGAATATCGAAGCATGCGCTACTCGTTCCTCTTCAAGTTTTGTTTTTTCTCAAAATTGGTAAACATTAGTTCTTTATTCCTCCTTGATGAATGATGCATCATCTCTCCATTGTTCACTGTCCTTCACCGGCGCATCAGGACATCCCCGAGGCTACTGACAAAGGCCGCCAGGGCCGCCAGGGCCGCCAGGGCCGCCAGGGCCGCCAGGGGTCCAAGGATGGACCCGAGGATGTGGTGCGAGGTCCAGGATCCAGTGGAGACAGCTTTGGAGCCCAGAGATTCTTGGCATTTCGGCATTTCTCGGCTCAGTTGGGATATCACTTGGGATATCTACTGAGACCTCCACAGCTATAACAGCTATAGCAGCTATGGTAACGTGGCAAGATCGGAAATCATCGAAGTCATTGTAGGATTGTCCATTGCCATATATTTGATGACAATATTACAGGAGGGCCACCCAGAATCAGTGATCATCAGTGATCCAATGGCGAAAGGATGAAGCCACGTAGAACTGTGGCTATCCCCAAGAAGTTCGAAGATGCAAGAGACATATATATTTTTTTATAAGTTACCTAAGCATGGACAAGAGTTTAAGTAGGATCATATGTAAGTATATACGTATAAATTGCTTGGTTTGGATACCTACCGGCGGTAGAAGAAAATGGATGAACTTTCTGTGTTCCAAAGCGATGAACACAGCACAAGTTTTTTTGCCCCCGTTTTGCGTGTTGGTCCTCCTAAAGCTGGGCAAAGCGGTCCAAAATTGATATACTGTAAATTGATCAAACTTGTCATTGTTATACCTTCTGGGTAAATGGTCAGTTCTCTTGGAAGTGGAAAATCATCATTTGTTGTTTTCCTTCATGACTTGCCTGGGCATGTGGGGTTCACACTTCGAGATGTCAGCCACCCAGAAGGTCTTGCATCTTCACGTTGAAGCATACAATTTCACATCCCACCAGGTTCAGTGGTTAAATCATGTTTAGTTACTTTCCTGTAAGCTAGCATAGATGTGGAAAACACACGGTCTCCGGAAAATACTCCTGGTGGGTTTTCCCACATCTATGTTAGTTTATCCTAGGGTCACCATAAACCTGACTGTGTCCCAGGAATCAGCCACACCCTCTCGGGTGAGTCGCCCAAAGCCGACAGCACCGAGCCCGAAGAAGTCGTCCGCGACGACGCGCCGGAGCTCCCCGGGGCCGTCGGCCGGACACCGTCGCTGGCGCTCTCGCTGCGCGGTGGCTCCATCCGGTTGAGGGGCGGCACTTCGAAGACGCCATCCTTAGCCATCTCAGTGACTAGGTTGGAATGTGTTGGAATCATCTTCCCCAACATCCCCCAACTTTCTGGGCCTAAGAGATGGTCAATAAGCCACGCACATTTAGTTGTGGGTTGATAGACAAAAAACCCGATTGGGGGAATCACCGACTCGGGGGGTGGTTGAATCCGCACGATGGATGGTGTGGCACGGGGTTTTTGGTGTTTCCGGGTGGGTTTTTGGTGTTCCTGAGAAAAACTCACCCTTGCCCCCAAATAAAGCAGCCCTAGAAACCTTGGTTTAGATTGGTTTAGTAGTGGATTCATCCGTTATGGGGATTGACCGGGATTGATATATATAACATGACGGGAATCGGATTAGCTGGCATGGGTTGGAATTGGTTGAAGTTGAGACCATATATATATATAATTACTGTATATATATATAAATAATTACTGTATATATATATATATATATTTGGTTATGGGGTGGTTTTGGGCCCATATATATATATATATATATGATTGCCTTAGTTGCTATGGCATGGTACGACCGCTTTGATTGCTGACATGCTAACATAAAGTTCAGCGGATGGCCGAGTGAGTGTTGGGCTACTGCTTGCAGAAGTTTGTTTACTTCTTTGGTTTGCGGTGGGGTCCTGATTAGATTGATTCAATTTAAATTTAGATTCTTGTTGCAAGAGGTGCTTGCCACACAGAACTGAAGGCTTGAAGGAGGCTTGAAGGATTATACCTAGGCCACTTGCAAATCTGCAGGTTCGGAGTTAGGTCCCCGGGCTTCCCCAGCCAAAACCTCTGGTTGATGGCACGCTTTGCCCTGCAGCTCTTGTTGGTAAACTTAGGTCAGGGGTGGTGGTTCCATGCAACTCTCCGAGAAGGTTGACGACAATCAGTTGGGAGTCAGGACGGGCGGACAGTTTTGTGCAGTGAATCTGACTGGAAAATGGATTGCCAATGATCTCATATAGTCTTATAGTTTAAACTTCAGAACATTTGGCTGATTCTGGCTGCTTAAAGATTTCGAGTGCGAGAATGCAGCATATCGATGTGCACAGATTGTACATGATCGTACCATCACCTGGAATGGCCCGTGGAACTGTCAGGACAAAGGTCGGAGCCTTGATTTTGGTGCAGTTCATCATGGTCGATGGAGTTGTTAGTTTGAACATGTTTGAACCAACAATGCAATTGGGAGGAGAATATGCTTACTGGTTGGTGGTTTGGAACATGTTTTAGTTTTCCATATATTGGGAATAATGATCCCAATTGACTAATATTTTTCAGAGGGGTTGAAACCACCAACCAGAAACACATGTTCATCTTGGTGCTTTGAAGTATTTGTATATGTCTATTTGTTATTTTCCAACCTATATATTTGGGATGATGATCCACATCGACATCGACCAATATCTTTGAGGCGGATTGTAAGCACCAACCACTAGTATATGGTTAGTTTATCAGACTTTAGTGGTAAAGTCTTGATTTTCCAACGCCATCCTTGTCCTCAGCGCAGTGCTCTGTGACTAACTCTTGGCATTCCATGATTGATGGATGGCTCCAGCCCTAGATCCAAGCTAATTGATTCATGATTTTGTCCCTCATACCGTGTTCTTTTATGGCTTTGGTAGTTACGATAGTAAGGAGCACTGGAGGCTGATGGATGTCCTGTGGGCAATGGATATGCTCTTCTAAAAGTCTGGTAAACTGTTAAAATCCGAAAATCCAACCATATTTGCTTATCCAAGGGTTCTTTATTCGTTCCATTGTATGAAAGTTTGGGTGAGCCCTGATGTGAAGCTATCATTCCCAGTGTTTGGCGTTCATTTTTTCCCTTGCATCTCTGCTCATGATGCGTCACTGCAGCTATGTGTTGCCCAGAATGAAGACAGATCTAAAGAGCAGCTGCTGGAGCTTTATCGGTCCAACAATTGAACATAGAAGAATCCATATATATATATATATGTGTGTGTGTTTTCAATTCTCAATTGGCTTCATTCAAGAAAATATAAGCTTCCAAAATCTTGTGGTGTGCATCTTCATTTTCAGGCTGTTTGCAAGTATGACTTTTTTTCCATTAGAAACATCAACTTTAGAATGGTGCTACATGATGGTACGTTTTCCGGCCACCTGCAGTATGCATGGACATGTATGGGCCTTATTGGTAAATGGGGTGCCAGTAATAAGAGATCAAAAAAGATTGGGTGAATAAATTGGTAATGATTAGGACTGGATGAAAAATGGTAGAAACTTCTCAAACCCGGCCCATCTCGCGCTGGCATCGTTTAAAAATCTCCCCCCGAGATCGACCCGGCCCATGAGCGATGCGGATCTCCACCGAGCGGTCCTTGCGGGGGATGCCGATTTAGCCTCGCAGCACAGCATAGCACAGCTGGGAGAGACCGGATCAGTCATGAGTATCCCATGAAACCTCCAGTATTCAAACATGGCAATGGCTTTTTGTCGGTCAATGGTACCAATGGTAATTACCGGGGTTTTCAGAAGGAAAAATCACCGAACTAAACTATATAAATGGTGGGTGCCATGTTTGATTGCCGCAGGGTATGTTGAATAGAAGACGCATTTGGAATTGAAGTCTCTATTTTTTTAGCCTTGGTTATGGCTCAAACTATCCCTTCAACATATTTGCAGCTTTGAAATGCTGAACATAGCACAAGTCTATGGTGGTTTCTCAAAATGGGAGTACCCCCAAATCATCGCAAAAACAGATCCGTTTTGAACATGCAAAATACATTAAAATAGCATTTTAGTACTGAAAGCCACAGTTTTTTGGAGAATCCCCGGGATCCCCCCATCTTTTGTGGGCCGCCCCCATTTTTCATCTTGGCCCAGTTGGTCCCTGCCACGGTGGGTTCCTTGGAGGTCCAACGTCTAATTTCAGAACGAGCTGATGTGAATGAGGACACTTGGCTTCCCGAAAGCACCGCTTTTTCGAGAGAATTGGCTTGGTCAATTTGGTAATAGTAAAGGATACCCTCTGGTAATTTAACATAGCTATGGAAAATCACAATTTTTCATGGGAAAATTCACTATAAATGGTGATTTTCAATAGCTATGTTAAATTACCAGAGGGTAGTAATTAGGGAAGACGCGAAAAAGGACACCATCACATTGACTGGATTTTTTTACATGGTTGTGGATGTTCTCTGAAGCTCATCCAGTGATTGATGGTTTGAATTGTGTTTCCATTCCTTCGTAACAGATCTGACAATGATCCTAAAATGTATGTTCAGATGTTTGAGCCCGTTAGCCGGGGCTCAACCACCAACCAGAGTACTGCTTGTTACTTTTCGTTCTTGTTTCTTTTAATAGCTACATACATATTTGATATAAATATATTTATAAACAAATATACATATACATGCACATAAATATAAATATATATATATATGTACACATGTGCACATGATGGTCACACGTCACACAATGTTTTGCAGTTATAGATTTATGCACATTATGATCCATGATCTTACTGATGCTAAACGTAGGGAATGGATTGGAATGGGGGTTGCTGGGATTATTATTGATAGTTATTGTGGATTATTCCCTCATTCCCTACGTTTATCACCAGTAAGTGATATATCCATGATATACCCTCTGGTTATTTAACATAGCCATGGAAAATGGCCCATTTATAGATTGTTTACCTATAAAAAATGGTGATTTTCCATGCCATGGCTATGTTAAATAACCAGATGGTATTTCTCCCTTACGGCGCCTCCGCCGAATCGCCAGGAGGACGACGACTCGCCGCCCTTGTTCAAAGCCGCCGGCTTGGACTCGCCTGACATCGCCCGAGCGCTTCTGGCATCACAGGTGGATCCAAGCGGTGCATGGCGAAGGGAAATCCATTGGGGAAATCCTATGGATCCTTTGCATTTAAACGTTTTGCGAAGTGGACAATGTTTACCAGTTTAGTAGGTAAGTCGTCATTTTCAGCATCATGGAATCATGGGTCATTTTCCATGTGCCAACTATTAAACGACCAAAGGGTACATTATGTTTTAAATAGTACCTAGTTTTAACGGAAACTAATCTTCCAACCCCTATTTGCCAGGGTCTATGTTAATTTACCAGAGGGTAAATTGCATCTACAAATAAGCTGTGTAAAGTTTCAAATGTTAATTACCTGCAACTGGGTGATGTTCATTAGAGTTATGTATCTGCATTTTAAGGATGATTTCACTGGTAAAATCATCCACAGGTTGATGATTTCAATGGGAAAATCATTTATACTAACTAGTGTGCCATTTAATGGGGCAAACATTACTTGTATCTGATGATGTTCCATTGCTACGTCAAATTATGAGGCGCTAAACCCGCTGGTGAATGTGTTCGTAGCCATTGGTTAATGGGTTACAGCTTCCATTGTGCTGCTTACGGACGATGGGAATACACTATACTCTTTGTTTTTTGTTGCAAGACATTTAAGGTTGGATACCTTTGGGGTCCTGGTCCTTGTTTGGAGTAGACAGTGCTTTATTTATGTGCTCTACTTGCCCGGTGTGTTGCAGGGTTGTGGTGAGTTTCGTGACACTATGTTTGCCTAAGAATCCAATTGATATTCCAAATATGTCCATGGTGTTATTTTTAATTCGCACTTAATGGCATATTTAGTGTGTGTGTTCTTCAACAATGGAAGGTAAACACCAAAATCCAGCCAGGTTTTTTCATGACTTGACTTTACCTAAAATGTTTCCCGACTAAAATGGCCATGTAAATATATAACATTATATTAATTACTGGGGGGAATAAATCCTTCATTTTCAGACAAACTCAAAATACACATTGTTGGTTATATATCCCATGAAATCCCACATGGGGGTTTCCTAAAATAATTAGGGATACCCCCAAATAGTAGGATTTTCCCTTATAAACCATCCAGCTATTGGGTACTCCATTTATGGAAACCCTCATATATATATATATATATTATATGTATGTATTGCCATGTGAATACCATCAAGACGCTGGGTTGCACAGGCAGACGTGAACTGGCGCGGCTCGGAGTTCAGCTTCACCGCGCTACACCAGGCTGGAGATTGAAAAGTTGGACATCTGGAAATACGAGGTAAGTAATTATATAAAATCATATGCTGTAATATCTATAGCCACCCCAAAAAGGGAAAAAGAAGCGTTTCCAGGATGCTATTTGCATGTATTTGCCCAAGATGTTCCAGGTTTCTACCTTTTCTATCTATTTTGGGGTTGCTACATACCATCCTGGAAACATGTTTCTGCCTTTTTGGGGTAAGTCGGGTAAATGTACAATATACCCTCCGGTAATTCAGCGTGGCTGTTCGGGGAATCCCCGACCTATATACATGGAGGTTTATAGCTGGCAAAATCATCAAATTAAACGGGGATTTGTCCATTGCCATGTTTGATGACCGAAGAGTAATATCGTATAGCACTAATCACTAGTTAGTATAGTTCATAGAATACAGGTTTGTGCAAATAATTGCTTATATTTTTGCAAAACCCTGAAGATCCCAGTTGGCTCAAACCGACTCACTGAACCCACTGTTTTGACCGAAGTGTATTTCTGAAAAAAGCGCCTGGAAGTGGTTTTACCGCCAGAATGCCTGCCAACGCTGTGACTCTGCGTCGCACGGACAGGCCGTATGTTTGAACAACAGCAAGATGATTGAGGTGCAAATCGAACGGGCCGTTTCCCACGTGATCTGCGGCAATGCCAGAGATGGAATCATGTTGCTGTCCTGGAGAAATCATGTTCTGTGGTGCTGGGAACTTGTGTGGTTGTGAGCTCTCCTAGATTTGCACCCAGTCAATTTTTACAG